GTCCATGATGCCAGAGTCCTGGGATGGAGTCCCACATCAGGCTCCATGGGAAACCTGATGTCTCTGTCTGTCTCTGCCTATGTCTCTACCTCTCTCTGTGTATCTCTCATGAATAAATAAAATATTTACTTAAAAAAAAAAAAAACTTGTGATGTGGGAACCCTTTCTTCCATCCCAGTATACCTGAAGCTTTTGAAGGAATATACCTCCCTTTGAAGCCTAGCAGTAGTTATTTGTACTGGAGGTACCATCTGAGCTCTGGTTTTGGAATAGTGGGGCTTTGGGGGACAACATTAGAATCAAACTTTCATGTATACTATATTATCTATGGGAAAGTATATTCTATGCTCTAAGTAGTTGACTGGACAGGCTTTTGGATTGTGGTTTTCCAGTCTCCCGTTGAGAGAGAGAGCCTGCCTTACAGTCAGGAGATCAGGTCTCAGTTCTGCCACAGAATGTACCCACTTATTAATCTCTATACAAGGAGGATATAAGTCTAAAAAGGCAATGGTTTTCAAGTTATTTAAATTGTTTTACTCTTCAGATAAAGTCTTAGGCAAAAAGCCAATATATAAAAAGGGTGAAATCTAGTTTGGGTATTCTGGTTATACTGGAAGAGGAATCCAGAGAGCTTCTATTCTATGGATGCTACTCTTCCACATCCATTACTTGAAGAAGAGAAGAGAGGTTTCTTACGATTTGAAAACCAGTAGACCAGTAGATTTTTCCCCCCTGGATCCCTTTATCCATAACATTCTAAACTTGAGAATGACCATATTTAACACAAAAGGTAGAGTTAATCTGTTTCTAAATCTAAAATTAGGTAATCTAATATTCAACTCATTCTAGATATTATAAGGTCTCTTTAACTGTATCTCCCTCTAAGTAAAAACAAACAATCATAGACCAGCAAAGAGGGCTTCTTAGTTTTGATCAGGTTGGATTCTTAATCCCTATAGACAAAAAAAATGATAGTTTATTTGGCAAAGTGGAAATATACTCAATTTAACAAAGCAGAACTCTCAATCTGAGTGCACATAAAAAACAGGGATTTGATCATGCAAAAAAGGTGGATATGCTGTAGTTCTCAGTCCCTCTGTCTCCTTTTTAGATAACCAGCCACTTATGTAACCAGGGGCCTCACCTCCTCCATTCAGGACTAATTGAGAGATGAGAGGCTTTCTTAATATTCTCCCTCCTTTACATGAAAATGTCATTCTGGGTATAGCATTTACTGTGCCTTGGGACCAGAATAGAAGCTAAAGTAGAAGAGGGAAATAGAATCCAGTAGTAGTACAGGTAGAAAGTTCTAATTGTGCCAGAGTCAAAAGAAAATTAAGTACATTAAGACATAAGAGAGGTCAGAGTTGTTGGGCACAGTGAACCATATTTGAAATACCTGGGCAATGGGTGACGGGCACTAAGGGCACTTGATGGGATGAGCACTGGGTATTATACTATATGTTGGTAAATTGAATCTAAATTTTAAAAAAGGAAAAAACAAACAAAGGAATACCTGGGCAAGAATGAGAAACTGGAGACAGGCCTGGTTTAGGAATGTTAGCATTGGGGCAGAAGCAGTAAGAAGACTGGTGATATGCTTTCTCTCTGTTTTAAGGGTTGTCTTGTTAATTAAGGGTGTACTCATGTGTCACTTGGCAGATTTAGAGACTAACACAGGTGAATAATGAGCTCATTCTGTTCTTGAGAAAAGTGTTGGGATTCCTGGGTTGCTCAGCGGTTTGGCTCCTGCCTTTGGCCCAGGGTGTGATCCTGGAGTCCCGGGATCCAGTCCTGCATCGGGCTCCTTGGATGGCGCCTGCTTCTCCCTCTGCCTGTGTCTCTGTCTCTCTCTGTATGTGTGCCTCTCATGAATAAATAAATAAAATCTTTAAAAAAAAAAAAAAGTAAGGAGTAAAATTTGACTTGGTCACATAAGTAGGTAGTAGTGTTTAAAAAAAAAGTGTCAAGTTCAGATGCACTCCCACACAAGTGCTCTGTTAATTACCTACTCTATAATAAATATACTATTAGGGGGCTATTTTAATTTTTACATACTTTCATATCCTCTAATTGAGACCATGCTTATGTGAAGAGACTTGTACTTGGCAAGGTTTCAGTAGATGATCTGATGAGAGGGTGCCTTGGTGTCTCAGGTTAAGTGGCTCAGGTCATGATCCTGGAGTCCTGGGATGGAGCTCCACTTCCAGCTCCCTACTTATCAGAGAGTCTGCTTGTCCCTCTGCCCTTCACCCTTGCTTGTGCTCTCTCTTTCTCTCTCAAATAATACCTTTAAAGAAAAATAGAAAATAAATAGTCAGATGAGGTTTCACTATGCTTTGGTTCTCATTGTTATTTTGACCTAGAATGAAGTACTTACATTTTAGTGAAGATCTTGAAATTTTTAATGTTAGTTTAAGGTAGTGTAAACGTGGAAGGAACAAAGAGATACAATTTCAAGAAAATTATTTTTATTTTTAAGATTTGATTTTAGAGAAATCGAGCAAGAGCAGGGGGGAGGGAGAGGGAGAGGGACAAGCAGACTGCACTGAGCGTGGGGCTCGATCCCAGGACCCTGAGATCACAACCTGAACTGAAACCAAATTTTAGGATGGGTCTATTTCTGCAAAAAGAAAACATTGCTGGGGGCACCTGGGTGGCTCAGTGATTAAGCGTCTGCCTTTGGCTCAGGTCATGACCCTGGGGTCCAGGGAACGAGCTCCTCATCGAATTCCCTTTAGGGAACCTGCTTCTCTCTCTGCCTTTGTCTCTGCCTCTATCTCTGTGCCTTTCAAGAATAAATAAATAAAATACTTTAAAAAAAAATGGAATCAAGAGTCAGGATGTTCAGCCCAGGAAAATTATTTTTAGAGGAACTTTACCACTTTAATAGGAGGATAAAGTAGATAATTTTTAGAGAAGTGGACTGAAGTATTTCCCAAGAGAAATGAAATCTGTTGTTTTGACACACAAAAAATTAACTGATGGTTTAGTTTTGATAAACATTAAAATAAGCAAAATACATTCATTTCTACAAATTTGTTCTTTAGTATTATTTTTTGATTCTATTGTAAATGAAATCATTTCCTCAGTTTCCTTTTCAGATTGTTTATTGCTAGTTTATTGGAAGATAACTGATTTCTACATGCTGATTTTGTGTCCTACAGCTTTGTTGAATTAGTTTATTAGCTCAAACAGGTTTTTTGTACATTCCAGTACTTTTATTGATCCTTCATATTCCTCATGCAATTTGTATCTGTTGGTGATTGAAGATCAGATGAGGTACATGTGAAGATCATTGTAAACTAGAAGCTCTATGAAGATTAGATTAGATCTCTGGTATATGGTACAACATGAAAAATAGGTGACTGGTAGGTTACTGCTAGGGTACCACCAGAGGTCTCAAATTCAAGGTTTTTGGTCTTGTTTTTGTTTTTAAGATTTCATTTATTTATTTGAGAGAGAGAGAGCACGCAAGCAAGAGAGCACAAATGGGGAGCAGCAGAGAGAAGCGAAGAACTAGATTCCCACTGAGCAGGGAGTCCAATCTAGGACTGATCTTAGGACTCTGAGATCATGTCCTGATCCAAAGGCAGCCACTTGGGATGTCTGGGTGACTCAGCGATTAAACGTTTGCCTTCCAGCTCAGGGCATGATCCTGGAGTCTCAGGATTGAGTCCCACATTGGGCTCCCTGAATGGAGCCTGCTTCTCCCTCTGCCTATGTCTCTGCCTCTCTCGTGTCTCTCATGAATAAATAAATAATCAAAAAAAAAAGGGGGGGGGGCAGCAACTTAACTGAGCCACCCAGGTGCTCCTTAAAATTCAAGGCTTTTACTAGGCCATAGAGTTTTGGAGGGTTTTATAAAATCATTTATTTTTAAAAAAATCATTTATTTTTGAATATATAATATATATACCAGGTTGAAAACACTAAAAAAAATATAAAAACTTTCATAGAATAGAAAGTAAATCCATGGGGAATCCCTGGGTGTCTCAGCCGTTTGGCGCCTGATTTTAGCGCAGAGTGTGATCCTGGAGTCCCGGGATCAAGTCCCTCATCGGGCTCCCTTCATGAGCCTACTTCTCCCTCTACCTGTGTCTCTGCCTCTCTCTCTGTGTGTCTTTCATGAATGAATGAATGAATGAATGAATGAATAAATAAATAAATAAATAAATAAATAAATAAATAAATAAATAAATAGTAAATCCGGGGCACCTGGGTGACTCAGTTAAGCCTTTGGTTAACCTGAGCCTTTGGTTCAGGTTGTGTTCCTGGGATCCAGGGATCAAGTCCCACATTGCGCTCCCTACAGGAAGCCTGCTTCTCCCTCTGCCTATGTCCCCCTCTCTCGTGTCTCTTATGAATAAATAAATGAAATCTTAAAAAAAAAAAAAAGAAGAAGTAAATCTGGCTCCTGCTGTTATTCCCTAGTCACCTAGTTTCCATTTCCAGCAGTTACCAGTTTCATGACATCTTTCTGGAGATATCAGTACCTATATAAGCAAAAACATGTGTACATGTATTATGCATTAGTATATATACACACATGATACTTTTATTTATTTTAAGATTTTATTTATTCAGGAGAGACACAGAGAGAGAGACAGGCAGAGACACAGGCAGAGGGAGAAGCAGGCTCCATGCAGGGAGCCCGACATGATAACTTTATAAGAATTTTGATATGTGTACATTGTTCTGCAACTCACTTTTTTTGTTATTTAGGAATGTTTTAGAGATCTTTCCACTTCACTTCATAAAGCTCTATGAAGTATTATTGTTTTTTTAACTTGAATACTTCTAGAGCAAGAACTCTACTCCCTGTTGTCTTTTGCTTATTGACTTCACATATTTTATAGTATTTGACTTCTCTGAAGGCATTTGAACTTTTAACCCCTGGCTTGGATGCATCCTTATAGTTATGTAGCCTAGAATGAAGGCCTTTCATAATCATTGTATATATTATGTAATAATATTTGTTTTAATCATTTTCTTTTTAGTTTTGATGAAGCAAGAACACAAAGAAGAGGTTGACTTGTCTTCAGTTCCAGCATTGTCTGTGCCTCATCCTGCCCAAACCCAGAGGCCTTCCTCAGACACAGGACACCCACGTGATAGTGTACTGTCAACACAGAGAAGCTTGGTTTGTCCCGTCCAGCAAACATATGCATCCATGGTAACTTCATGTCATCTGCCACAGTTGCAGTGTAGGGATGAAAGTGCTGGTAAAGAACAGCAAATGATACCTTCTTCAATCATGCACCAGCCTTTTCAAGTCACACCAACACCTCCTGTGGGGTCTTCCTATCAGCCTATGCAAACTAATGTGTACAACGGACCAACTTGTCTTCCAGTTAATGCTGCCTCTAGTCAAGAATTTGATCCGGTTTTGTTTCCACAGGATGCAGCTCTTCCTACTTTAATAAATCTTGGCTGTCAACCGCCATCATCCATACCTTTTCATTCTTCAAATTCAGGCCCAACAGGACATCTTTTAGCTCACACACCTCACTCGGTGCAGACCCTGACTCACCTGCAGTCATTGGGATACCATTGTTCGAACACAGGACAAAGATCTCTTTCTTCTCCAGGGACTGACCAGGTCACAGGCCAGCCTTCCCCTCAGTTACAACCCATTACATATGGTCCTTCACATTCAGGGTCTGCTACAACAGCTTCCCCAGCAGCCTCTCATCCCCTGGCTAGTTCACCACTTTCTGGGCCACCATCTCCTCAGCTACAGCCTATGCCTTACCAATCTCCTAGCTCAGGAACTGCCTCATCACCGTCTCTAACCACCAGAATGCATTCTGGACAGCACTCAACGCAAGCACAAAGTACAGGCCAGGGAGGTCTTTCTGCACCTTCATCCTTAATATGTCACAATTTGTGTGATCCAGCTTCATTTCCACCTGATGAGGCAACTGTGAATATTAAGCCTGAACCTGAAGAGCAGGAACCTAACTTTTCAACAATTGGTCTACAGGACATCACTTTAGATGATGGTAAGTTTATCTTTATATTCTTGAAGCAATGAAGATTCGGAAACTTCCTTCTCTGATAGTCCTAAAAAGGTCACCATGGATTGCTTACTGGTATATGGCATGTGATTGGGCTTTTTTTTTTTTTTTAAATGGTTGTTGTTAACTAGAAATATATTAATATAGTTTCAAGCAGACATGAAAATCTATGCTTTAAAGTCTGTTTTACCACTAATACCTGTTACAAAGGATGAGACCTTGAATGATAACCTATTACCCATTTGTAATGGAACTAAGGACATGAAATTGATTGGGCATCTTTTCTTTCAGAATGTATGATGAAGTCACAGTGCCTGGAGAATGGAATTCAATAAATATTGCTGAATGGCATCTGTTTGGAAGGCACAGAGTTTAGATGCTGGGAATACCAGGAATGTGTTTAGATAGAATTCCTGTCCTTGAGGAGACTCACACAAGTAAAGAAAGAACTTGTTCCTCTGTGGCCCTGCCAGCTTGCTGAGTCAGATAGTGGTAATGGTACAAGACCAGACTGGTTGACTGTAGCTGGCACAGCTGTCGGCACCAAGATAAAAAGCTATTTATATAAATGTAGTAAGTTGGCAGATGGATCGCTGTTTTTAAATTAGAGAACAAACTCTGGAATATTAGTTATTTCAGTAATTGAAAATTCCCCAAGAAAGTATTTTCAGGTAATAATTTTAGAGTTTGTTCTTGGCTTTATCTTTTTATATGGTAGTGAAATTTTGTCTAAATAGAAATTCAGTGAAAACAACCTGTAAGTGTTCAATATGAAAGTTGTAAAGACTCTAAAAACATGGATATAGAATTTTAATTCTCTCTCTGATTCTGTTTTTTCTGTAGAGAATAGTGATTCTAAGTCAGCCATCTCTTTTACACATCTGGAGAAGCTGAATTTACTACTTAGTTGCAAAGCTGGTATTAAATCCCAAATACCAAGCATAAGGGGAAGGAAGTAAATAAAATAAGGCATCCCCACTGCCCAGGGCTTCCACCAGATCAGTACATGACTGACTACACAGTATAGTAGGCCTGAGTCATTTACAGTCAAGTTCTAAAAGAAGCACATTAGGAGATCATCAGAGAGATGGGACAGATTCCATTAGAAAGATTCAGTAGTGGGGCAACTGGCTGGCTTAGCTGGTAGAGCTTAGGACTCCTGACCTCAGGGTCATGAGTTTGAGCTCCACAGTGAACCTAGAACTTACTTTAAAAAAAAAAAAAAAAAAAAGATTCTTCAAAACTTCCTTGAGGAGATGGTATTTGAGCCAGATCTTAGAGTATGAGTATGTGTTTTCAGTAAATGAGTATCAGAGGGCAAATCAGGCAACATAAGTAGAAACAGAGCTGTGTCTGGGAAAGCACGATTCACCTTAATGGCTGGAGGGCAAATGGCATAGTAAAAGATGGCTCTCAAAGCCACGATGGGATGTGCCAAGTCATTTCTATGTAAACAGAAAGTACAGTTAGCCCTTGAACACCTTGGGAGTTAGGTACACCCACCCTCACTCAGTCAAAAAATTGACTTAAAACTGTCAGTTCCCCAAAAACTTAACTATTAATAGTCTACTGTTGGTTAGAAGCCTTACTGATAACAATCAATTAACACATTTTATATGTTATATGTATTTTATACTATATACTTACAGTAAAGTAAGCTAGAGAAAAGAAAATGGTTATTAAGAAAATCATAAGGAAGGGACACCTGAGTGGCTCAGTCCATTAAGCATCTGCTTTCAGCTCAGGTCATGATCTCAGGGTCCTGGAATTGAACCCAGCGTTGGGCTCCCTGCTCAGTGGGGAATCTGCTTGTCCCTCTGTCTCTTCCTCACCCACCCATCGTGTTCCTTCTCTCTCACAAATAAATAAAATTTAAAAAGATTTGAGAGAGAGTGTGTGTGTGTGTATGAGGTAGAAGGAGAGAATCTTTGTGTGGAGCCTGACAGAGGGCTCCATCCCACAGCCCATGAGATCATGACCTGAGCCAAAACCAAGAGTCAGGTGCTCAGCCAACTGACCCATCCTGGTGCCCCAAAACCCATGTTATTCAGGAGTCAATTGTGTATGTGTAAACTGAAGCAACACCTACAATTTGCGTAGTATTTTCCTATTCATTATTTCTTTTAATCCTTATTAATCCGCTGTCTCTGAGATAGTGATCATTTAGAGAATTGGACTTTCTGAAGGTCACACAACTGGTAAGGAGCAGAGTTGAGACTGGAATCAGATCTTTTTAGTCTAAGCTTTTTTCATGCAGTACTATATAGTTGCCTCCAGCAACAGCAGGCCATGGTGGTTAGAACTCTGTGCTAAAGGAGATTCCTTGAACTTTTTATTTTTTTCTTTAATTCATAGAGGAACATGTGTGCAGAACTTCACTGCATGAACACATGTTCACAACTCTATCTGATCTATCAAAATTGTGTTGGGAGTACTTGAGGGCTCTGGTATTGTGTCTTGCTGTTCTCTTTTTGTACAGCTGGCATAAGTGTCACTGCCTACTTAATAATGGTGTACAACAGGTAAAGAGGAGACTTCTATTATACAAAACAAATTTAAAATAAGGCTTTTCCAAATATACATACTTTTAAAATGTTCCTTATTCATTCTTTTAGCAGTTTTAGACTATTCACCATGCTTTTAAGGTTTATAATTAGAATTTTAATCCTGAGACAAAGAGCAAGACCTTGAGTGATAGATAACCTGCCACCCATTTGTGATGGAACTAAAGACACGAGATTTATTGAGCACACCTCAAAGTGTATTCCAGCTCACTTTCTTTCCAAATGAAGATTTCTTTCCTCCTAAAAAGGGACCAAAGGTAGTGGAACTGCTTTTTCCAATTTATCAGAGTTTGATATTTTGGAGGCAACAAATTGGAACTTCTGGAAAGATTTTATGAAAATTTTATTTTACCTTTTGAATATGTGAAAATATGTTGCCAAAACAAAGAATCTGGAAATATGAGGCCTATGAGGGCAGGTATAAAATTTTTTTCATATTTGTTCCATTCATTATAGAGGCCACACAGTCAAGAAAAGTTCCCAGATTGTAGCCCTACAGAAGATCTGTTGAGTCCTCTCATTGCCATTGGTTCTAGCAGTATTTAAAGGGGGAGGAACTAAAATGCACTCCTGGGCATCTTGGATTATTAGATGTATAATATTTGCCAGCTGACTCATTGATGATGTTATTTTGATTTGCCTTTGAAGGTAAAGTTCTAGGTACTTAATCCTACAATTTTGCAAAGTTTTAATACAAATTCACTAAAAAACAACAACATCTGAAACTTCATAGCACTTGAATGTTCCCTTTTGGTTAGCTTTAAAAGGAAGCCATAGGGACACCTGGGTGGCTCAGTCCGTTAACCATCTGCCTCCGGCTCAGGTCATAATTTCAGGGTCCTAGGATCAAGCCCCATATCGGGCTCCCAGCTCAGTGGGGAGTCTGCTTCTCCCTCTTCCTCTGCCCCTCCCCACCCCTCATGCTCTTTCTCTCAGATAAATAAAATCTTTAAAAATAAAAATAAATGAAAGGAAGCCATAAAATACACCATAAATGATTAGAAGCACTTAGGTGAACTTTGCAGTTAGCTTAAGCTCAGGTTTTATATTAACTTTTCTATATTGTGTTAAATATTAAGTACAAAGTAATTTCCACTCTACAACTGGAGGACACAATTATTTTTTTGTGTGTTATACTAGTTAAATATATTTACCATCGGGGATCCCTGGGTGGCTCAGCGGTTTAGCGCCTGCCTTTGGCCCAGGGCGTGATCCTGGAGTCCCGGGATCGAGTCCCACATTGGGCTCCCGGCATGAGCCTGCTTCTCCCTCCTCCTGTGTCTCTGCCTCTCTTTCTCTCTCTATCATAAATAAATAAATAAATAAATAAATAAATAAATAAATAAATAAATAAATAAATCTTTAAAATATATATATATATATATATTTACCATCTAGTCTTAAGAAATTTTGTTAATCATATTTCTGTTTTAGGGCACCTGGGTGGCTCAGTTAAGTGTCCAACTCTTGATTTCAGCTCAGGTCATGATCTCAGGCTCACGATATCAAGGCTGTGTCGTGCATCACGGTGGGTGTAGAGCCTGCTTAAGGATCTCTCTCTCTCTCCCCCCCTTCTCCCCCTCCTGTACTTGTGTTTTCTCTCTCTCTCACCTCCCTCTAGAAAAAATAATAAAATAAAAAAAATAAATTTTAAAATAAAAATAAGATCACATTAAAGATTTTAAAAGATTAAAGATAAAATATTCTTTTTATTTTGCATTTTTAAATAGATGGAGTCAGTAATCATCCAATTATTACTTGACTCTTATTTTTAGAAATGTGGACATTAACACAGTTCAATGACATTTAACAGAGAAGATATTAGTGTACCTCACCTCAGAAATTGAAGACTTGGGACACCTAGGTGGCTCAGTGGTTGAGCATCTGCCTTGGCTCAGGTTGTGATCCCAGGGTCCTGGGACTAAGTCCTACATCAGATTTCCCTCGGGAAGCCTGCTTCTCCCTCTGTCTGCATCTCTGCCTCTCTCTGTGTGTCTCTCATGAATAAATAAATAAAACCTTTTTTTTAATTTTATTTTTATGATAGGCACACAGTGAGAGAGAGAGAGGCAGAGACACAGGCAGAGGGAGAAGCAGGCTCCATGCACCGGGAGCCCAACGTGGGATTCGATCCCGGGTCTCCAGGATCGCGCCCTGGGCCAAAGGCAGGCGCTAAACCGCTGCGCCACCCAGGGATCCCAAATAAAACCTTTAAAAAAAAAAAGAAGTTGAAGACTTAACAGATGTTAGAAATACCTCTAATACAACTCCCTCAGGACACCTAGGTGGCTCAGAGGTTGAGCATCTGCCTTCGGGTCAGGATGTGATCCCAGATTTCCAGGATTGAGTCCCACATCAGGCTCCCTGCGAGGAGCCTGCTTCTCCCTCTGCCTGGGTCTCTGCCTTCTCTCTGTGTGTCTCATGAATAAATAAAATCTTTAAAAAATAATAATAATACAACTCTCATTTTATAGTTGAATAATCTGAGTTTTACAGAGTCTGTGGTGTTCATCCAGTTAATAGCATATAAGGACTAAAACCCGTCTCTTGGCTCCTAATTCAGTATTTCAGGTATTTTTCCTGTATCTGCAGTCATGTTTCTCATTGGTCTATGAAATGAGACTGCAGATGTAGAGCAATCAGAATATGTTGAAAAAAACTGCCATTTTCTCTGTAGAGCCTCTTTTGTCAGAGGGGCCAGGACAACCTTAAGATTATAGATTCCCAGGGATGCCTTGGATGACTGAGTCAGTTATGCCTGACTGTTGATTTCAGCTCAAGTCCTGATCTCAGAATCATGAGATCAAGCCCCACGTTGGGCTTCCCGCTCAGTGGGGAGTCTGCTTCCTCTCTTCCTCTCCTCCTCCACTCTTACTCTGTGTCTCAAAAAAAAAAAAAAAAAAAAAAAGATTCTCAGAAGTGTTTTTTTTTTTTAATTTTGTTGTTATTAACACACGTTTCCAACTTATTTTTTTTTAAGATTTTTTAAATTTATTTATTCATGAGAGACAAGAGAGAGAGAGAGAGAGAGGCAGAGGGAGAAGCAGGCTCTATGCAGGAAGCCTGATGTGGGACTCAATCCCAGGTATCCAGGATCACATGCGAGGCTGAAGGCGACACTAAACAGCTGAGCCACCAGGGCTGCCCAATTCTCAGAAGTTTTAAAGGCTCTCTGGTCCATTCTCTTTCACCCTGGAGTTCATACTCTGGTATCCTTATTCCTCTGTGTGTCTTCCTCTTCACCTTCTTTGCAACATCTCAGGGCCTTTTGAGTTCTCGTTGCCCATATTTTATGTGGGCTCTGATGCCTCTGGAATCATGTAGAACAAACCTAATCCTTCTTGTAATAGACCTTCACATTTATGAATTCTTGATCTCTTTCCCTTTCTTAAAAACACTCTAGCGACTTCATCTGTTCCTCTCCCTCACCCACCTCTGCTCGACCTTGATGTTTTAGTTCCTTTTTGTAGTGCAATATCTAGAAGGGCATACTCTTAGCCAGCTCAGAGTGGATTGGGACTGTTACCTTCCTTGTTCAGAAGGCTTTATTTTATCAATATGGTCTGAGGTCAGTGGATTTTCTTAGCTCCATCTTAATGTTAATTTAGTGAGTCATAAGTACTGCTAAATCACATCCTTTCTCTCCCCACTCCCTACCCCCTTGTTTTTTGTGTATGTTGTTTTTGGAATCCAACACTAAACTTTAAAATTTTTTTAAATTATCCTTGTTCAGTCTCCTTGGGGTGATTTTGGCCCCTCATATCAACCTTCCAAGCTAAGAACAGTCTGTTTCAGTGTAGTGTGGGTCTCTTCCCAAGGTGTATTCTTTGGGGGAATAACAACAGCAGAATACTGATTTTTACCAAGGGATGTTTTCTTTCAAGAAGTCCTCTTGGAAGGCTGTAATATCTCTTATCCAAATAGGGCATTATTCAAAGTTCTTTTGATACTTCTTATTTCTTTGCTATCTAGGTGTACCATTGCCCCCGCTTGAAAATTGTGCTCTCTACATCCATAAAATTATCGATAAGTTTTTACTTGTTACACTTCGTATTCCTGGAATTGTAATTTTCCTAAACATTTCCATTCATTATAGTGTGTATGTCCCAGTCTTTGGACCAAACGATATACATTAAAACAGTACAGAAATATAGAAATTGTCACTGCTGTGTTTTAAGCATTTAATTAAGATTATAATATTGTTAAACTAGACTGCCTTTGACCTTTAAATACAGGCCATTTAATTTGTGACTGAGCTGAATCCATTTACAGCTTTCCATTAGAATCCCTCAATTCCCACTTGTCCTCTTGTTCACAAACTAACAGAGCTGCAGCTGCAGCCTTTCAACAGAGAAGAGGGTACATGTTAAATATAGCCTGACCTGCTGCTATGGTGAAAACTGAAACTGCCACTTGCAGGCTCTGCGCAGTAACATGCCGATCCTGAATGTAGGGCAGTTACAAATTTGACTGTAAACAGGGACTCTAGACATGACCTCAGACGCTGAAGTGTCTACTTTCAAGTAGCATGGGGATGATAAAAGACAAGATTCAGAATGGGGAAAGTAGGAGGCTGGTATGCAGGAGCAGAGGTAAATATTATTGTCAGTGTTCTGTTCTACCTGTTTGAATATTAGTTTTTCACTAGTGATTATTGTATTTAAATAAAACTAAATAAAGCCACATATAGTCAGTACTGAGAGTGGGTCACAAACGAAGTATTTAATGACTTTAGGGAAATGAGGTGGAGGGAGACAGATAGTAGTAAACCTCCTTTAACCAGGACTCTAGGTAGCTCATGAATGCTTTTCTGGAAAGCATCATGTAATATCCAGCATCAAACATTTATGAGAATAACTCCAGAAGCGGGAAATCCCCGTAAATAATGCCCATGTAAGGCTTTGGATAGTGGCTTATGCAGAACAGACCATGATGGGGATTCAGGACCTTAGACATAGTGTCTCTTGGGTATATGATAAGAAAGCTAAATTTTTAGACCCAGTGAAGCAACTGCAAGCATTTGAGAGAATTTTTTATTTCTTACATCAAATGTATCTTTTATCACACAACTTAATTGTACTCCATTCAAACAAAAAAATTTTTTTGAATCAACTTGACAGTGAAATTTGTACATAAACTTGGGACGCCTGGGTGTCTCAGTGGTTGGGCATCTGCCTTTGGCTCAGGTAGGGATCCTGGGGTCCTGGGATCAAGTGCCGCATCAGGCTCCCCGCTCTGCCTATGTCTCTGCCTCTCTCTCTCTCTGTGTGTCTCTTATAAATATTTTTTTTTGTTTTAAAAAATTTGTACATAAACTTAGAAAAGCCTAAGAGAGGCTACGACTAATTAACTGGCATATGTCACAGCATATCAAAAGTCTTCAAAAGAGGGATCCCTGGGTGGCTCAGTGGTTTAGCGCCTGCCTTTGGCCCAGGGCACGATCCTGGAGTCCCGGGATCGAGTCCCACATCAGGCTCCCAGCATGGAGCCTGCTTCTCCCTCTGCCTGTGTCACTCTGCCTCTCTCTCTTTCTCTCTCTCTCTCTCTCTCTCTCTATCATAAATAAATAAATAAATCTTAAAAAAAAAAGTCTTCAAAAGAAATTCACTTCAAAATATATTTAAAAATAATTAATGAGGGATACCTGGGGTGGCTCATCGGTTGAGCATCTCCCGTCAGCTCGGGGTGTGATTCCGGGATTCACAGGCTGTTTGAGTGGAGCCTGCTTCTCCCTCTGCCTCTGCCTCTGCCTTTCTCTCTCTGTGTCTCTCATGAATAAATAAATAGAAATCTTGTCTTAAAAAAGTTTAATTTTGGGCAGCCCCAGTGGCGCAGCGGTTTAGTGCTGTCTGCAGCCCAGGGCGTGATCCTGGAGACCCTGGATCGAGTCCCATGTCAGGCTCTCTGCATGGAGCCTGCTTCTCCCTCTGCCTGTGTCTCTGCCTCTCTCTCTCTCTCTCTCTGCACCTCTATGAATAAATAAATAAAATCTTTAAAAAAAAAAGTTTAATTTTTTAGAGATGTGGCTCAGAAAGCTTAACTGTTTTACCAGTTACTACATGACCACAAACGCTGGGACTGGCTTTTGAATCCAAGCTGCATGAAATTTAGATTATCTTAGGTATTTAGTGGTTTCTGAAATAGCTATAATATTTTATATAATCTTATT